GTTACCACGATGTTTGTTCATACGTTATTAGGTCTGTGGTGTGTATATTATCATGTTATTTACACATAAGTTATCGGAGGAATATTTTTCAATATTTTTTTTCATGATAAAGTTACGTAAGTTATCAGGTCTGTGGTGCATATATTACCATGATATTTACACAGAAGTTACCGGCGTATGTTTGAACCATTTGTTCCGTGAGTCAAAGTTACCATGGTGTTTGTATGTATGACATGAGCAGCTTGGTAACTTTATCATGAGCAGACTAATAAGAGCATCTCCAACAGCCGCCCAACGCGTGGCGCGCTAAAATCTGGTTTGCGGCGCGCCCATCCCCAGGTTTGGCGCAGCGCATGGTACTGGCTCCAGCAGCCGCGCTAAAATGCAGCATGCGCGCGCAGCTCCAGCAGCGCGCGCGAGCAGCCGGCGCATCACATTTGTTGCATTTTGGACACAACACATCCACAAAAGAAAGACATGGCATATAATTTAAATCACAAACATCATTCAACCAAGTTCAAAATAAATAGTTCAATTTATACAACTCAAACAAATAGTATCTTTCATGAAATACAACAAATAGATCAACAATACAACATCAAACACACAATTCATGGTGCTCTTTGGTGGCCATTCCAAGCCCACCACTCTTCAATGAGATCCTTCTTGAGTTCATTATGTGTTGCCGGACGTCGAATGACATGATAGGAGGCAACAAAACGGGCCACCTTTTCAGTCCTCCGCCGCACTCACACGGGATGTCCCAAGAGCTCATAGTGAGAGTAGTCTACATCTTGGTCACGCTCATTCTTGATGATCATGTTGTGCATGATCACACAAGCGTGCATTGTGTACCAAAGCATATTCTGATCCCAAAATCTAGCCGGTCCTTTCACAATAGCAAATTGGGCTTGCAAAATCCCAAAAGCTCTCTTCAGATCTTTTCTAGCCGCCGCCTGAGCATTGTGGAAATCAAGATATTTCTTACCTTTCAGTTTTTTCAACGGCTTCACAAATATTTGCCACTTCGGGTAGATGCATCCGCAAGATAGTAGCCATGGTTGTATGTACGCCATTAGCTACAAACTGCACCGGTGGCAGTTCACCATTTGCAATCTTACTCATCAATGGTGACCGGTTGACAATGTTGATGTCATTCAAAGATCCAGGCCTTCCAAAAAAAGCATGCCAAATCCATGTCTCTTGATCGGCCACCGCTTCAAGGATTATAGGTGAACCGCTTTTCTGTCCGTGGAATTGGCCATGCCATGCCTTTGGACAACTCTTCCAACTCCAATGCATGCAATCTATTGAGCCAAGCATACCTGGGAACCCGCTAGCTTTGTGCATCTCCAATAGCCTTGCAACATCTTCAACATTGGGAGTTCTCGAGTACTCCGGGCCAAACACTTGCACAATTCCGACTGCGAAGCGCTTGACACACATGATGGCTTGGCTCTCACCCATGGCCAAGTGATCATCAACTAGATCAGCGGGGATACCGTATGCCAACATACGCAAAGCGGCTGTCACCTTCTGAAAGGTGTTGTGCCCGAGCTCTCCGGCGGCATTCCTCCTCTGCTGAAAAAACCGGTCATGGCTCGCTAGTTTCTCTGCAATGCGCCTCAACAACTCGGTGCTCATCCTAAACCGGCGACGAAAATACGACTCGGGGTATGTGGGATTCTCCACAAAATAGTGACTCATCAATCTGTTGTGGGCATCAATTCTATCCCTCCAAATTTTCTGCCGACCCATAACCGAACCACCGTGCTTCATTTTTTTATTGATGTGCATAGCTAGGATCATTGCAAGGTCCTCCTCCTCTTCCATATCAAATTCTTCTTCCGGAGAATCATATGACGAACTCATCTAAAATGTTCAAAACTAGGCTATGAACAACATGCAACAAATTTCATGTAAAAATGTGGAAGTTGAAAGCAATACATACCTTGCGGGCCTTTTGTCGAACACCTTGCGGGCGCCGAGCGGTGGTGGGTGGCCGGGTGCTGTTTGTCGGAGGACTGCCGCACGCGAGGGCGGCTCTGACTAGAGAGAGAGAGGGAGGAAGCCACGGCCGTGCGGGAAGAGATCGGGGAAGCCCGGAACGGTCGTCGGAAAAATGGGGCGGCGCGGCTGGATGGGTAGGTGGAGTTGCTCGCGAGCGCTTGAGAGTCCAGCGCGCGGGAATGGGCGCAGCAAATAAGCGGCGCGCGATGGCGTTTTCGCCCGCACGCTGAATTACATATGTGCCGTGCGCAGTTTTTGCGCATCCGCTAGAGCGTCCGGAACAGTTGCGCGCGCGCTAAAAGCACTACTGTTTCAGCGCAGCGCGTATATAGCGCGGCTGTTGGAGATGCTCTAACTATGACCAGGTGTACTAGTGTGTAATGTGCAGGAGAAACAGAAGAATAAACGGTTTGACCGCTATTTGTTTGAGTTAAAACTAATAGTACAATACATGTAGCATGTGGTGTTATGTGTGACTAAGAAAGGAACGTGGACCTCAAAAATAAAAGGAACGTGTGTTGTGTGTAATGAAAAAAAAGTCTGCTAGACTAAATGGTTCATAGCAATTTTTTGGCTATTTACCTTGGACTTGCAGGAGAAGTGGAAACGTGGCTTGCAAAGCACGCAAAAAAAAAAGAGGGGGAGAAAATGAGCGGAGGCAACTGATCATGGCCGAGCGATTCTGATCAAACGATAAACGCGCCGTTTGGTTCTATATCGCTAATTTCAGGTGGTTCGCCAAATACCTTTCTCCTAAAAATATACTCCTGCAAGCACCTTGATTTTTTTAGGGGTAATTAGAGATTTTATTCAACGTTGACAACGTACGGAATACATGCAATGTCAGTCCCTAGCCACACATGGCTCCAACCGAAAGAGAAGAAGCTCCTTTAGCAACAGAGTGAGCTTCAAAATTGGACTCTCTTGACTCAAAACTGAAACTAACACTATCAAAGCTTATTCCGCTAAAGACTCAATATCTCTAAGAATTGAAGCATATGACGAAGAGGCTCCTATCTTGATATTGTTCACGACTTCAAGGCAATCCGATGCTATGATCCTCTTCCGGAGATTAAGGTCTTGGGCCAGCACCAACGTCTCACTCGCCTCACTGCATGCCAGCGCTTCAAAGATTGCTAGTTCAGATAGCCCTGCAAAAACGACGACTGAGGCTCCCAAAAACACTCCTGATTCATCTCTGCAGATTGCCGCTGCAACTCCTTTGTCACCCAGCGTTGATAGACCACCATCCACATTGAATTTGCAGGCACCATCCGTGGGAGGGATCCATCGCTGCTTCCTTTTTGTTATCGTGTGTGGCACATGATCACGGTTTCTCTTGACCGTGGCAATTTGAAGATCCTCCTAGTACTTATTAATGAAACCCATTGTGGTGAGAGGGCTCTGATATTGGTCATCGTGGATTGCTCGCCGCCGAGTCCACTATATCGCCCACGGGGTTATCGCAACCTGTACAAGTTCTTCTTCCTTCAGAGTTTCAAATAGCCAGAAGACCCAAACATTTGCGTCTTCTGTTTGGTTCGATATCACATGTTTCAGGGTTTCTTCGTCACCGAGAGCCCAAACGCATCTTGTCATCCGATAAGTGAATGCCGCCATGAGTCGATCGATGCATTGCATATAGAACAGACTGGACTGTCCGCCATCTTCTTGTCATGCCTCACCGACCCTGTCGGGAGGGAAGTATGAGCCAATCTCCACACGAAAATGCGCACCTTTGAAGGGATCTTAACTTTCCAGAGTGATGTCCATGAACGTTTTGTGGCCTGGATATCTGAGCTGCTCGTCCTGTGCTCTAGCCAATCCTCCCTTTGTTTCTTCACAGCAGAGATCATCATTTACGCTAATCGTACCGTGAAAACACCTCTCTTCTTATAGTGCCATGCCTAAAAATCTCCTGTATCCGAGAGCTAAGAGGGATATTTAGGATCACTTCAATGTCGGGTGCAATGAAGTGCTGCATCAGTACTTGTCTATCCCACGACCTCGTAGCTGGATTGATCAATTCGGACACAAACTGAGGTGGATCATTTGATATAGGATAAATAGGCCGAAGCTTATAGTCCCTTGGAAGCCAATTGTCGGTCCAGATGTGTGTCGAAGAACTAGAGACAATACCATTTAATGAGTCCTAAGTGAAAGGGTGTCCCGTCTTTCCAACAGCGAGTGCCAAACCTGAGAGGGGGACGTGACCAATGTGGCGTCCAGGAGATGGCAATCCCGAAAGTACCTGGCTTTCGACAATGAGCTTGGGTCTAGTATAATTCTCCAAGCACCTTGATCAGAATCGGTTGTCGTTTGAGTACAATTAACAAACTAGGACATTCGTGCTAGCTATAGCCGGCCAAACAAAGAAGCACTCAACTTTCTTTTCTGCATAAATAGTCAATGTGTGCGAAGACGATAACCCCACATCAGGTCATATACATCTCGCGGTAAAAAAAAAGACGAGTGCAAAGATCGATGATGAACTGATCGAGCGTTGCAAATCTTCAGCAGAGCATTCCCAAATGAACTGCTCTCACTGGTCGCTGGGAACAGACCACCGTGCAGCAGCGCCTACTGTTACGGCGAGACAGCGGCAGGGACGCTGCCGTCCTCCACGTGCATTTTCTTCATCCAGCAAAGCTTGCGTTTGTGTGTCCATGAAAAACAGCGAGTGCCGTGGCTATCAAAAATAGAAGATGGAAAAATAACATAATATTGACTGTATTCAACATAAGCACGCGCGATCTCAACATTGACGTGCTTATTTTATCCGTTCAATTGTCGGGAATAATTACACGGGTTCTTCCAACAAATTGGTAGACGAGATACTCCCTCTGTTCATAAATGTAAAACATTTTAGAGACCTGTCTTACTTTTATGGACAGAGGGAGCACATTTCTGCAGAAGACCAACATTGCTCCTTCCAACCACATTCATGTTCAAAGCAACCTTATGAGCAGAAGTGAATATCAGGACAAGCCGTCGCCGGCACCGCTGTCATATTCATCAACAAATCCACTTCCTCGCTGGTCCGAGGATAACTCGAAGGACGAACACCGAGATGAGGAAACTTCTCACAACACAATCGGCACACCTTCCTGTCGTGCAGGGATACCTCCCTGATGTTCGCCGCAGCTTGAATGACTCGTCTAACGTATCCGATGAAATTGTCATCGGACTGGAAGCCGTAGATAGTTAGCCTAGCCAGATTCTTGTGCTTAAAATCAGGATCAGATGGCTCCCAATGCACATCCATTTTCCTGGAGCGACTCTTTTGTGACTCCTTCCGGCACTTATGATCCCATACTGTGATGCAAAGGTCCTCTACGGATGGTGCAGCTTCAAGAAGGAACATTGTCCAAGAGATGTCACATTCTTCAGGAAGATTGTCCAGACTCACAGACCGTAGTTGGGTGAGCACCGGAGCAAGCACTTTTGGGCATTCTGGTCGAATCCGAACCTGGGACAGATAAAACAAAAAGTTGTGCATAAATTAAATCCTCGAGTGATGCATAAGTTACTACCGTTGCATATAAGCATCATATATAGAATGATAACGTGGTAGAGATGGTTGGAGTGTGTACCTTTTCACTTCGAAACTCCAGATACAAACCGCTTACAGTGGGGACATTAGCAAGCAACTGGCTTAGGTTGAGGGTCTTCCGTGAAAGACAAGCTTGAGGAAGGCTTAGCTTCGAAAGTTGCGGGACAAAACCAAGAATCAGCGGACTTTCATCACAGGGCCAATTACCTTTTTTTTGAGCAACCACAGGTCCAATTACCAAAGGTCACCCGTTGGAGCTTTGGTAGACAGCTGAGCTCCACTGTTTTGAATTCACAATAGGAGATAACAAGTTCGGTGAGACGAGTATGTTCCACATGCAGCACCGAACTGATCCCCGCGCCACACATGAAGAAAGACAGTGACTCGAGCACCTTGCAATAGCGAAGGATGTTGGGTATGTCTGATTCACCAAAGCTCATGTTCCGTAGATGCAGACGCGTGAGACCAGCAAATGCATCTGGACAATCACGAACAAAATTATTGAACTGCATAGCAAAGAGCTCGCGATGGGCATCAGTGCAGATATGGGAATCCTTCGGAGTCAAGATCTCAAACTCAGCTGCATCAAATTTCTGAGTTGCCATGGCGAGGCCAACGGATTTGCCGATGGAAAGGCAGCGAGAAGGGCTCAAGACAAATTTGAGCTTCAGCTTGCGAATGGTGATGTGTGGAGGCCTCCTACTAAGAATCTTGTTGGTCACATCAGCCACAACATCACTTTTTTGAAACAAATCACGAGGGCTGAGATCAATGACGATCTGCGAGAGCATAGCTGGCAGCTTCTGCATCTGCTTCGAAAGGATGCAGGCTCTTACAGCATCAAGTGTGCCCACCCTCTCGAGAATGTTGAGCAGCACATCGGCGGGCAGCTCACTTAGCCTGTCCCCGTTACAAGCTTGTATATCGCCAGGCAGCTTGCTTAGCATGTCTCCACTGCCAACTTCTGTCTTGGACTGCATTTTGCGAGGTGGAAGATTAGTCATCGGTGATAGATCGATAAACTGACTTCCATAAAATGAATGAATGAAACATAATAACAATAACCAAACATAAGCAACTACTTACGTTCCGTTGGTGGCGGCGACCCCTGTTAGACTTCATGTTGATGCGATGACAAAAGAGACCAACTTGAGTCGATAAACAGAACACAAACAAAAACGAATCTTGAAAGGATGACCCCACTGTGCGCGACAGTCGCCAGCGCCCAGCCTGATCTTATTATATGGCCAATGCTAGGCGCTGGCGCACCGGCCGAAACTTTCGGCCGGTCCAGCCATAGCCGCTCGATGCGAGCCGCGCGGCGGTTGGATCTGGAGCCAAAAAAAATAAAAAAAATGCCCCAGCTTCTTCTTCCTCGGGCCCGTGGCGCATCTCCGGCGAGATCCCCTGCGGCTCGCAGCACGGCGCATCTCCGGCGAGATCCCCCGCGGCTCGCAGCACCGCGCAGCTGCGGCAAAGGCCCCCCACGGCGCATCTCCGGCGAGGTCCAGCTCCAGCAAGGCCCCCGCGGCGCATCTTCGCGCGAGGCCCAGCTCCAGCAACGCCCCTGCGGTGCATCTCCGGCGAGGCCCCCCGCGGCTCGCGGAGCCTCACGTCGCCGGCCGCTACCCCTGCTTGCCGCCGGCGAAGCAAAACACGACCCACCTTCACCGCCGCCGGTGAAGCAAAAAAAATGCCGGTTCCAGCAAAATCAAAAGACGGTGGTAGCAATTTTTAGGCTGGTTCAGCAAAAGTCAAAAAAAACTTTGGGTGGTAGCGAAAACTTCTGATGCTTCCAACAAGACTCTGGTAGTAGCAAATGGCGTCTCCGGTAGTAGCAAAAATCCGAGACAGTTGCAGCAAAGAAAAGCCGTCGCCGCCGTCCAACACCGCCGTGGGTGGATGTAGCAAAAATGGTCTTCGGTTCCAGCAAATGAAAATACGGTTGTAGCAAAAATTATCTTCGGTTCCAGCAAATCAAAAGTATGGTTGTAGCAAAAATCGACTGAAAGAAAACATGCGATGTCATGGAGATGGACGTAGCAAAAAAACCACAAAACAACGGTAGTAACAAAAACTCAAAACAAATGTAGCAAAATGGTTCGCCGGTTCCAGCAAAAATCACCACGGGAGCAGATTTTGGGGTGAGTGGGTGGTAGCAAAAACATGGACCGGTTCCAGCAAAAAAGAAACATGGTTGTAGCAAAAATCTTGCTGTGCGCGGCCATGAAGAGGAGCAGGAGCACAAATCAGCTGCGGGCGGCCATGGCGACGAGCGCTAGTTGCAGCACCGTCACGGTTGCAGCCCTGCTCAGCTCCGGCCACCAAAAAGACGAACGCCGTGGCATCTACACCGCACCGGTCGCCGGTGCTTCGCCACCAAAATTTCGCATCTCCGTGTTGGGTCGCCTCTGTGCAGCAGCAAGAAGCGGGAGTGGATGGGAAAAAGCAGAATGAGTGGTGGAGAATGGAGGAGGCAACGCGAGGAAAGGGATAACGCTGCGGTCAAAGCGGTGTGTGGACCCGGCCAGCACGTGGACGTGCGGCTGCGGAGGGAAACGCGAGCGTCCGATCTGGCGCATCAATCGACGCGCATGTGACCGGCCCAACGCTTGGGCCGGCGCGCCGGCCACAAACACTTCCCTTATTATATAGCCTCTTCCGATCCTAATCCCAAAAGAAGAGACGGAGACGGAGGAGGCTTCCGAATCCTCTTCAAGCCGGTGTAGAATCCGTAAGCCGGCCGATTTACTATTACCTCACGCGACGCAGACATACAAAAACAGCTCCTTTTTCTAACACAAACCGAAATTGATCCCTTTCCTCTTGGAATCCGAGGACAGAACGAAATTGGCACCTGTCCCTTCCTTCTTCGAATCCGACTGCAGAATGAATTTCATCTTCCTTCATCATCTGGAAGGTAGCATCTGGAGTAGGGGACAAGTCCGGGGAGGAGATCGGTGGGCGCCGCCGCCGGAGGGTGGGTGGGGAGGGGACAGCGTTAGGGCAGACGATGTATGCATATCTCTCCTCTGGTGGACGTGGACCTATTAAGGGCATGCTTGGATCCAAGGGACTATTTTTAGTCTGACTAAAACTAGTCTCTTTTAGAGGCTAAAGTTCCAATCATCCCTGACTAAAGAGAGGCTAGAACTAGTCTTGAGACTAAAAAATTTTAGTCAGGGGAACCCTACTAAAATATGGATTAGTCCTCTCTCTCCTCATTTAACTCCCCTTCTTTAACACATGCGAGTTTTGGATTGGAGGGTTTGGAGGATAATAAATGCTCATTAACTCGATTTTAGTCTATTTAGTATTTGTATCCAAGCATGGATGAGGCTTGCAAGTTTTAGTTCCATTACTTTTAGTCATGGGACTAAAACGTATGCAAGCACCCTCTAAGATTGGGCTCAGGCTAATCTACACACTTGAGCCCATAGGCCCATTTAACACAACGGTAAGGTTATGAAGAAAACTCAAATTTGTTTCAAAAAAAATTGAAGAAAACTCAAATGCGGCCAACTAAAGATCTCCCAATTTCGAGGCACATAGCTTCGCTAAATCAATTAAAAAAAGTCTTGCTAAATATGCTCTAGGTATTGCTGCGGCCGTCATCTATGGCTCAATCAGTCCCCCGATCTACATTGTATCTTGATGGATACTTTTAATCAATAAAATGAGCGTGTTTAGACTAAAGAAAAGGTAAAATAATCCCGTGACATATGGCACCACTTTGGGAGATTTTAATTTATTTCACTTTGGGAGTAGTGAAAAGAATTAGCACTAGCTCATTATTAGCGTGATAAAGCAGCAAAATAAATATGCACAAGATGTTTTTGGAGAATAAACTACCTTTTGTTTCATAGCGCCAATATTACTTTTTGCTACACATGGTCTTGTGGCCAACAATCAAACCCAACACTATCGTCAAGATGTAGAGGCCGGGCTAATCCTTCTTTTCAATAAAAATAAAAAAACCAAACCCA